AAAAAAATCAATTTTTTGGGTGAAAAAATCGGGCCCAAACAGGCCCAAAATAAAAAAGGGAAAGACATTAGACATCGATGCATGCCTCTAATAGTTTAAACATATTCCACCCAAGAAAATGCAATATGATATTCATGAAAGAAGAGTTTCGATTGAAAAAGGTTGAGCATATATATTTGATAAAATGATCAATGCTTTCATTTTTGCTATACGCTGCAGGCTAGATTTTTTACTTAAAAGTCTTTGCCTTAATCTATTCTCTTTCGCTAGCTAGATTTTTGCAGGAAGAATTGATCACTTTTTCTTGATATTCTCTTCCTAAAGTATGCAATAGCTAATTTGAAATGCGTCATTTTTTCGTGGAGCTACCATACCTAAAATAAGTCAAAAAAACCTATTTTGAGCACGTTCATGTTCCTCTCTTACATTTTTGTTCAAGCTAGCAACATGAACTGTGGATTAATCAGGGATAAAGAGAAAGGGTTCAACCAATAATTGGCCTCTGCAATCATCTCTCTCTTCATCTAATCGCTCATGAAGGTGGGGAAAAATCAATCTATGGAGTTTTGAAGCTTAAAATAATTTGTTTATTTATTTTAATTTGATGTTATATCATCGTACCATTTTGCAGTTTAACAATTTTTCAAGAATTCATACACGTTTCTTCACAAGAAAAATTTAAGAATAGAAGACAAGTATATACCGTTAATAAAAATATAAAGAAGACAAATATAATACCGTCAATAAAATATAGAAATTTTTGTAAAAATGAAAATTAAAAAATGGAAAATCAATAGTGTAATCGAGATACTTGAATTAAAAAAAAAATTAAATTAAGAAAAAGATAACTCTAAGCGATAGGAAAAGATAGTTCTGGATTATAAAGTAATATAAATTAAAATTATAAAAAATTTCTAAAATATGTATATATAATGGAAAATTTGTAAAATTTTATATTTTTTTCCTACAAAATGTGTTTGTTGTTACCAAAACGTATAGTAGACATGCAAAAGGTAAATTTACAAAATAGAGTATGTAAATTGTAAATATATTTATACCTTCAATGCAGGTTGTATTTTGTACCATAAAATTTAAGAGAACCTTTTTCTTTGGTGACCCCTTAAAAATGTATATTGACCTATTTGGTACAGAATAATTTGAAATGAACTTCTAAAATCAATATCTTAACAAGAATAATTCTACTTCATATCTCTCGAATTTATTTGTAAAATATATGTTAAAATGGTTTTTAGTTGAGTTAAAATTCATACAAAATTGGTATTGTTTTTACTAACAAAAAAGAAAATTGTGATATAAAGCAAAATAAAATTGTAAACCTTTCTTTAATTTATACCAAAGCTTCACGAAAGATGTCTATAAATTAATTATCGAAAATTTTAGGAATAAAGCTTCTCTATTGATATCGAGCAATTACTAAGCATATTGAATATTCCCGTACATAGCTAAATTGAATAACATAAAAAATTAAAATTCATATATACCAACTTGAAAAAGAGATGATGACAAAATATAAATAAATAACAGAGAAAGGCAAAATTTTGACTGGCACCAAAACCTGGGGCCATTGGCAAACTAATATATGGTGGGTGTTAACATCACCAACTTGAAAAGTATAAATATTTTTTTTTTTGTCCTTTTTCAATAATTTAATATAATATAATTCATTTCCTTATTAGCCACACTCATTATACTTTAGTAAGAATTGGATACCTATCACTTTGAAGAAAGCAACATTTTTTTTTTGGTAAATAAATATTTATTTATATTAGAAGTAAATGAACCTAATGAATAATGGGGAAAAAAAATGATGTAATCAATTTTTAATTTATCGGGAACAAAATTTAGTCATCGCTATATATCATGACAATTGAACCAGTATAAATAATATTGTCATTGATAATTTTATGTTTTGTTAAAAAGGATAAATGAATCATAGATGAAATTGAGAATTATCTATTGTCAACAATTATTTAATGATTTTATATGCGTAAGGGTCAACATGACCTATTTATTGATAATTGTATTGAATCGAAAATAGTAGATTTTTCTAGACACGCAAGCAAACAATTCCAATGATATAATAGAATCAAAAATATTAAATCTAAATAATACTAGTTAAGTTTTAACTGGAAATATATCGAACGATTGATATAGCCATAGTCCAATTTTTTAAGAAAATTTCGAGAAAAATATCCGTTGTTATTTATGTTGAAAAATAGTCGAACTTAGCCCCTGTTTGTCATTCATTATTTTGAAAATTAAAGAGTTTTGAATGGTAATTTTTGGAGAATTTATAGTTAAAAAGTAAAGAAACTTTATTGGTTTGTATGTAGAATATTTTATTGTGCAAACGTGTGGAGAAGAATAATATGAATCAAGCTACTTGTACATTGTGCTTTACATCATCTTTGATATTGTGTCACGTGTTGTCACATGATTGAATAGTTTTTGAATTCAACACACTTTCCCGATAATTTGAATTTGCATACAATGTCAATGTCAAACACTATGTACAAAATGTAATGTACAATGAGATTTATTCGAATAATATTGAAGTAAATAATTTAAAATTTTAAATATGGAATCATGTAACAGAGTCATATTCAAATTGTTTGAAATAAAATAATTTAAAAATATCAGAAGCATCGGATGAACGAGGTAGAGAATAAATTCATGTTGGACCAGATGGCACTAAATCACGTGAATTTATTCTTAATTATCCAAATTTATGGAGAATAAATCAAGTGTTAATTAATTGTAAATTTATAGTACACGAACTTGGATTTTAATAGTTGTTATTAGCACACAGAAATCTTGGGTTCGGTCCATCCATAGTTTTGTATGTTGGAAAGGCGGCTATGATTTTTCACGGACAAAACTTGTTCAATTTGTCGATTATTTGTTTGCAATAAAGCTATCGAATTTTAAAAAGTTAAAAATTACTATTGCGATTAAGAGCTTGTTTGGTGGAGATTTGGTTAACTGATTTTTTGACCGTTAAAATAAAATGGGTCCTACTTATGAGAGAAGAATTCAAAAATGAAGGTTGAAATAATAAAATAACGGTAAAAAAATTAATTTTAATTGATTTAAAATCTGTAACAAATAAGCATTGAGATATTGCTTTTGAGTGTTGATAATTTTTTTAAAAGTATTTTATCGAATCAGAAGAGTTTTTGAATGAACATCACCCAGAGTGACTAAGTGACTTCTTTAAAATGCTTTTTCTAATATATTTTCTAAAATGAAGACCCAAAATAAAAAATGGAATTATGTCTAGATTAGCCTCGAGTTGAGCGCATGGAGCCCTAATAGAAACAAAGGCGATGTACCAAAAGTTGTTGTGGTAGAATGTCGAAGCGATATGCTCTCGTCTTGGATAACATCTTCCATGACGTTGCTTTGTCCCAAAGATCTTTCGTACAAGATCGTTTATACATCTAATTGATTTGACAGTTCTACAGTAGACATTTTTGGATCAACTTTTCATGTGGTAGCCCTAAAAACGTAAGGTAGCCATGTTTCAGTTTATTTAAGGTTGCATCTAGTCGAGAATAGTTGGATTCGACGCCTATAAAGTTAACCTATGAGCCATTAAGATGAAGCCGTACATTGCACATCCAATAATGTCCACTTCTTCCCTTCCATCATAAAAACTCAACATTTGGTGCCATCAATTCTACACCACCTCGGAACCTTATATACTCCATGCTAATATCACCTTCTCCCGCACCCATCATTGATCTCTCTGTCATCTGACAAACATGAAACATCCACGCCAACAACTTGGCACAATCTTTTTCATCTTCATTTTAAAGACGCCACACTGGATAACTCCCTCATCCGTCCCAGCATTCGCCTAATTACCTCAAGTGCGTGACACGTCATCGACAGCCTCGGAAAATCCAAATATATCCTCCGAGTGGGACCCACCTATTCCACCCATAACGTTATCCTAACACGGGAATGATCGCCCATCTCTGGAGCCCAAGTCGACATGATTTGCCCACACTTTGAAAACGAAGGCCCGAACTTATTATTCAATTAGCAAGTTAGTCCTCAGTCTCCTTGCTCCTCAACTATAAATAAAGATAGTGTACTTTTTGGTTTGTACAACTCAAGTTGGACCTTATTATATGTATATCAAGTTTTACATAATGAATTATATAATGTCACATATCATTAAATCATTTATCAGTTTAAAATTTAATCCCTTGTATACCATTTTATATAAAAGCAGAACAATCCAATATGTTGTGCTCTACATAATCTCTCATGTTAAAATTTTTATTTAGTTCTCGTTTGGCCCCCATTCTCATTCTTATTCTTTTTTTTCTTTTATTTTCAATTGCACAATCTTTCATAAAATAATATTATACAGGAATAAAAAAATCAATTTTTTCAACCACACATTTTTCAAAAAAACACTATTCGAATTGGAAAGAATAGGGGTCAAACGAAGGCTTAATCTTTTCCCTTCACATTATTTTATTTAATCCCTTATATACTATTTTATATACAAGTAGCACAATTCAATATGTTTTATCCTACATTTCTCAATATCGTATCAAGTTGAGAAACAAAGAAAAATTTATAAAGTGTCTATATAAAGACCACATATTAATTTAATCGATTTTTAATAGTTTTACGGCCTATTTGGCATGATTAAGAAATCAAAAGTTACATCCGAAATAAAAAAAAAAAAAAGAAGAAGAAGAAGTTATTTTTGAATATATTTAGATAATTTTCTTGAAGTATTTTATTTGATTAGAATAATTTTTCGAAGAAATTAATTACCATAACATTTTTAGAAAGCTCTTTTACAGAAGGCAAAAGCTTGTCGAAAAGGACATAAGAATTATTGGTGCAACTATGACAAAAAATTGTTCTTTCTTATAAAGGTCAGTGCCGAGTTTGCTATTCGAGCAATAGTTTAGGATCAAATAGTAAACATTTTACCAAGACAATAGCTTAAATTTGATATTCAATGACCAATTTGCCCTCATGTTCTTTCTATAAATCCCAAACCCCCTTCTCCTCATTCCTTCCATTCCATTAGCCACTCTCTTCATTTCCAATAGTATATCCGCGTTTTGTGTGTGTGTTTTTTATATTTTGGAGAGAAGATGTTGGGAGTGTTTAGCAGCTCGATAGTTTCGCCGCCGGAAGAGCTGGTGGCGGCCGGAAGTAGGACGCCGTCGCCGAAGGTGACAGCGGCTAAGCTGATGTCCAGGTTCCTGGAGACGAACTCATCGGCGGTGTCCATGCAGATTGGCGATGATGTCCAGATGGCTTACACTCACTGCAACCAGTCGCCTTTACAGCCCAGGTATACTATACACGCTTTAAAAATTTGATTTTAAAATACTAAAAATAATTGGGGATGATACTGAACATTAAGTTTGGTGATACTGAACATTAAGTTTGGATTTATGGTGATCAAATATTGGGATGATCTGATGAGTTCATGCTTGCTGATGGTGCTTTATCTCAGTGAAGAAAGGAATTTTTAATTTTACGATCTTGAATTGTTTCATTTTTATTAGTAGTTTCAAATTTAAGATTAATTAAGGAATTTGAAAAGTATAAGGATGAAATTAACTTTTAGTACTAATTATAAACAGTCGAATCACGAAATTTATCCAAATTGTGAGTCGGTGAGACGAAAGAAAAGAAAAGAAAAGAAAAGGCATTTTCGTAATTTTCTCTGTTTTTGGATTTTATTCCATGATTCTGTAACTTTATATAGATATTGGTATCTGTATCAAATATGTATGTAATTTTCTCTGTTTTTGGATTTTATTCCATGATTCTGTCACTTTGTATAGATATTGGTATCTGTATCAAATATGTATGTATGTATGCGTGCATATATTTTATGTAATTTCTGGATTTTTACTTTACTCTGCATACTTCTCTATAGATCCACGTGTGACAGAGTCCATTTATAGCCCATTTGGCAAATTTATAAATGGTTTATAAGGTGGAATAGTGGCCCTAAAAGAGAGTGAGGATAACAATTAATAGTGATGAATAAATTAATGTTTGACTTTTGATTGAATTATAAACCATATATTTGTATCCAAACGATTAATTCATATGGGAAATATTTCTGTACTACACGAAGAGGCAAGAACCTATATATTTTTCCGAGCTTTAGATAATATGATTTTTCTTCGTTTCGGAGTTTAATCAAAGTTAATAATTGAAGAAGATCGAAACCTGGCAATTCTTGATCTTGCATTAGGAGCAAGGATTATTACTTGAAACCAAATTTTTTGTAAATTGCAAGTGAAGAGTCTGAAGACTGATATTGACCTGTATTGCCTAGCTTGATTAATTGATAAAAGTCATGAAATATATTATTAAAATTAATTGTTAATTTTGATGTAGATTTTTATCAACTTTTTAGTTAAATTAAATGGGTTAAATCCATCAATGATCACCCAACTTTGTACTTAATGTCACCATAGGCACCTAATTTTATTTTGTTTTATCATTGCTACCAAACTTTATACTTAACATCCATGGTCATCGAAGTTGATATTATTTCATCATAGCTGCCCAATTTCATACAACGTTACACTGTGGCCACCCAACTTTTGCATTATATATATAATACGAAGTTATCATTTTACCTCCTTTAAATTAGTGAAAAGGGTGAAAAGAAGTTGGGAGGTCATGGTAAAACGTTATATGGTGAAACATTATATGAAATTGTGTGGCAATGGTGAAACGTTATATGAAGTTGGGTAGCCATGAGGACACTAAGAGCCTGTTTGGAAGTGATTTTTTTCCCCCCAAAAAATTGATTTTTTTACCGTTATTTCATTATTCCAGCCGTCATATTTGACTTCTTCTCTCGTAGGTGGACCTCATTTTTTTCTAACGGTCAAAAAATCAATTCTCAAAATCACTCCCAAACAGATTCTTAAGTATAAAGTTGGGTGAAATTTGGTGGATTTAACCCTGAACTAGATAGGAGCTTAGCCTATGTTTGAAAGCTTCGTTCTTACCCTTCCAGGAATATTTAAATATACAATTGTCTTGTAAGGTGGGATGATTATTGACTTTCATCTCTAAATTTGATGGGCCAACATATGTTCTTGAACATATTTTAAATGGAGCTTCAGCTTTTAATTATTCGTGTGGTGAGAATTGACATTAATTTGAATGTAAATTGTATGACAAATGGCAGATCATTTGCAGTCAAGGACGACATGTTCTGCTTGTTTGAAGGAGCGCTCCACAACTTGGGGAGTCTGAAACAACAATACGGCCTTGCAAAGTCTGCCAACGAGGTACTTTTGGTGATTGAAGCCTACAAGGCACTTCGTGACAGGGCACCTTACCCTGCAAACCGAGTGGTTGGCCACCTCGAGGGGAGTTTCGCGTTCATGGTATTCGACAAGTCGACTTCCACTTTATTTGTGGCTACCGTGAGTATTCCCACCTACCGAAAGCCAAATTTTAATCTTTATTTAGTGGTCTTTACTGACAGTTAAGTTGGTGGTGGCGTGACAGGACCAATTCGGCAAAGTTCCTCTCTATTGGGGGATCACTGCTGATGGATATGTCGCATTTGCTGATGATGCTGATTTGCTAAAGGGTGCTTGTGGCAAGTCACTTGCTTCCTTCCCACAAGGTAATTTCCTAAAATAATAATTTTTCGATGAACAATATCAAAATAGAATAACGAGAATAGTTGATTGTGCCAACAATGATAAATTTGGGATTTTTCTCAATAACTAATTCTCTGTGTTAACATAATTGTGTTGGTTGATTTTTCAGGTTGCTTCTTTTCCACTTCAGACGGAGAACTTAGAAGCTATGAGAATCCCAAAAATAAGATCACCGCTGTTCCTGCTACCGAGGAAGAGATATGGGGAGCGAAGTTCATGGTAAGATGCTTTATTTTATTTTTTTTCTGTGGAATTATTGTTTCGAATCCTTCAAGGCTACTTATGGAATCTATGTGAACATAGACATTATTGAACATCATGAGGTGGATAAAACAACATTGTATTATTATGATCACGACGTTGGACGTAGACAAAACCACATAATTTTTTCCTTGTTTGGCCGATACTTTGTTGTCTGACAACTTGTGTGGATGATATTCAGGTGGAAGGGCAAGGCGTTTTGGCAGCCACAAAATAGAAGAAGGAATTATCTTTATTGAAAATGATAGAGCTCAAATTGGTGGGAAACGAAGGGAAAAATGAGTGGCATGTAAATGAATGGAGGAGATGTGCTTTGTGTCTTGTCAAGTATTAGAAATGAAAGAGGGAAGTTTGTATTGAGATATTCCTTATCTGCTTTCTTGTAACAGTGTTTAATCGTTGTATAGCCTCCTTTTAGTAGTGTAATAATGTTTGAATCGAAGTTTGAAACTGATCTTGTAACAGTGTTTAATCGTTGTATAACCTCTTCTTTTAGCAGTGTAATAATGTTTGAATCGAAGTTTGAAACTGATCTTGAACTGCGTTTTTATTCATATCGACTTATTGAGTGTGGCGAGAGAGGGAAATGGGTCGGAAAGAAAAAAAGTCTCGAGGTCAGGCATTGCGAGTCGCTCTCAATTGACGAGGAGTCACTTGTGGCTCACGTTCGAGTAGTGGTTTATTACCTTCTCAAACGGTAACACGTGTTGACACATAAAAATTCAGCCCAATTCGAACGGTCCAAGGAATGAAGCCCAATTGGAGGATCCCCAAATCAGATAGTCCAAAGAACGAAATCCAATCAAACAAATCAAGATGAAGGCCCAAATAGGGAGGTCCAACAATGCGGTAACGCCATCGCCCAAGTTTGCAAGTCGCCCAGAATCTGAGCGAATGGAGTGCCATACAGTCGCCCAGAGCTGTTACTCTATTCTCGCCCAAACCTTCAAGTCGCCCAAAGTCTTAACAAACATAAAGCGTTGTGGTTATCAAGACGTGCCGTTATCAAAGCAATTATTAAAGCAGCCCTATCACGTTCCACGATTCAAGGAATTCAATCGAAAGCGGTTGAACGACGAAGAGTAATGGCAGCAATTAAAAAAGGCAGTTTTCATGACAAGTTGGCCATTACGAGGAAAGTGGGCAGTTATAGGACGATCAAGCGGTTTTTAGGCGGTTGATCACAAAGAGATCGTCTATGAAGTATAAAAGGGAGAAAAAACATAGAGCAAAAGACCGAATCAAAAACTCTCGAACAGAGAACATGTAATTTTAATTTCTTTAACTTAGACTTAAACATTTTTCTTTCAATAACTCGTATGCTTGCCCCCCTTGGAGGCACGTTGTTTTTAATTTCCAATTGTAAAGTCATCGTCAATAAAAGAACACCTCTTTTTGGGACTTTGTCTCAAGAGGTTTGTCTCTTACACAATCGTTTGATCCCTTTTAATTGTTAGCGACTAACCCGCGCGAAACAACACGTTTACAAACATTACCCATAATGACCTAAAATTATACAAAAATGTTATTTATACATCACTTTTTTCTTTTTTACATCAATTTTCACACTTCCTCACAAAGATGGACTTCACGATTATTTTAATCGTTGACCCCACTCACTTGCATGTATGTGTGCTGTGAAAAAAGGTGTACTAGTAGAATGGTTGTAAATTATATAGTTCAATATTGCGTAGTAAAATTGTTCTCGTGTCATTTTCTTAATGGTTTATGAAATTAGTTTAGAGGATTATACCGTCTACCATCATAATTTTGTGTCTGAAAACTTGAATTACCATTTAAGGATGACTTGCATATCGATTAAAAGTATCTGTATACAAGGTAGAACTTTTAAAATACAACATAGTTTTGATATTTGAGTAATGCTTGGGGTACATAATGACGTCCATAATGCCCAAATGACACCCCCCCTATTGGAGGAAGCGCCACTTGGACATTATGGATATCATTATGGTGCCCATTATGTTCAAGTAGAATAATGCTTGATAGTTTCGTGGTGTTAAAAAAACAAATGTTTGTAATCTTATTAGTGGAACCATACGTATATTGACTCTTAGCATTGCACAAAAAGGAGACATGAAGTCATTCACATCCACAATCAAGGACGGACCCAAACTTTTTGTACTGTGGGGTCAGAAATTAAAATGTAATTTTTTAAAACAATATAATATTAATAAAAATAAGAAAATACACTATTATAATTGTAATCTACACATCTTGGTACTTTAAAAACTTTGTATAATTATATCATTATCTGTCAAATAGATTTTGATAATTGTATATTATTGTTTATCACCTCGTTGATAAATGCTGAGCCGATAATGAGTAAATCAAGCTGAATGTAGAAATTAAATAAATTGAAATAAAATTCAAATTCAATCTAAGAAGTAAATGAAATTCAAATTTAATTCCAAAGTAATTTAAATTACATTCAATCTTTAGCGATCCTAAATTTTTTTATGCCATACTCTATTTAAAATTTGCTAATAAAATGATGGAAATTATATTGAGAAATTTGTTGTGCAAAAATAATAAACGTTAATGAAATAATTAAAAAAATTTAAAAGAAAGACAAGTTAGACTTTTTTTTAGAGACGTACATTTGATGCATGTTTAACTAATTACGATATTCGTTTGGACCATTCGATATAACTACAATGTAGTTCTTGAAAAGAACTTCTAAGTGATATAGGTGATTTGTAGATTTGGCTAGAGTACGATTGTCGGCGAAATTTTAAAGTTAGCATATTATCGAAATTTTCGAAATATTAGTTTGGAATGGTCAATTTTGACACGTTGTAACTTTTCTTATAGTTGGCCGTTTCGTGCGCTATTAATAAGTGAAAAACTAAGCCATGAGCATTTCGAAATGGTATTAAAAATGTAATATTTCGACTTCGTTTGACATTCTGTAATGTATGTGTCAAAGTAAGTCGTGAAGTAAACGATTACAAGTTTTGGAAAAAAAAAATGTGACCCATGTAAGTCCATCCATGTCCAGAGTTTTGAGGGAGTACGGTGTCAAAATTAGTGAAACGGTGACATGGAGAATTAGCAAATATTGTAGGGAGTTATTACGAGCTTGTGTTTAAGAGGATATTTTTTTGCTTCGAAGCTTGAAAAAAAGGGTTCTTTGTTGGATGTTGACCCATGTCTAGACGGGCGATCCTTGAAAGAGGAATTTGGGGTATGGCAGAGAATGATTGTATATTCCCATTGTTGGAGTATAAAATAATGCTAGTTGGTCATGGCCTCCAAAACTCTAAGGGGTAGATTTTAACATTGGAAATGCATATTGTTTACATCTTTGTTCGATGGACAATGTTTCCACCAGCCAAACATCGATTTTGTGTTAAACATAAACAGTTAGGTCAACTTGACTAATCGAATTTATACCTGCAGAAGTCATCGTTGATATGAATTATAGTAACTAGATCTTTCCCTCCTCGTTCCTCATAAAATATTAGCCGTCAATAGGGCAAGTTAATAAAATAATATGGAGAGGGGAGGGGGACTTAGCCTTTATATAGGAAATTAGCAAGCCGTCCATTACGATTCAAACTCTAATTAGAGTTTACATATATTTCTGACCTATATACTTAAAATTACCACATCATATTAAATACAACTCGTAAGGTGTAAAATGTCTAATTGATCATTTAATAAATTTGGCCCAATTACAAATATCATAATGAGCCATACATCTAATTCGTAAAATAAATAATCAAATGTGAAGCCCATATTAGAAATATTCCAACAATTCACATCCACAATTTTGAAGGAGCAGAATGTCAAAATTAGTGAAACGGTGACGTGGAGGGCTAGGAAATATTGTAGGGAGTATTACGAGCTTGTGTTTGAGAGGATATTGTGTGCTTCGAAGCTTGAAAAAAAAAAAGGTTCTTTATTGGATGTTGACCTGTGTCTAGACGGGTGCTTCTTGAAAGGGAAATTTGAGGTTTGGTAGAGAATGATTATATATTCCCATTGCACATGCCATTGTTGAAGTAGAAAATAATGCTAGTTGGTCATGGCTTCTAAAACTCTTAGTAGTAGTTTTTAACATTAGAAATGCATATGTTTTTTTTTTATCGGTAAATGTAAATTTCATTGATCAAAATTTTATGTACAAGTAAATCAGGGCATACCTGGGCAAAACAAAGCCAATGTTACGTACAATTACTCTGGGCATACCTGGGTAAAACAAAAATAATGAAGTACAATAAAATCAATGACCCAGCACTAAGGACTCGAAATGAATCAAGACATCCGGATACAAGGAGAACATAACTTTATATACGTGTGTCTTGATTTGTCTCACAATACAATCCAAGTGAGGTGTAAAGTCTTCAAAAGTCTTCTTGTTCCGAGTTAACCAAATGTAGTAGACGGTACTAGCAAGTGCAATCCTTTTAGTCATGCTGTCCCACGTGTCTCTTTCTTTATCCACTTCAATAAACTAGCAAGTGTAGACATGGATCTTCTGATGCCGAGCCACTGTTTGATCCTCCCCCATAATGATGATGTGAAAGAACATTCAAAGAATAAGTGTCGGCTTGTTTATGCCATATGTCCACAAAGAACACAATTACGGTCAATCTCCAAATATTGAAATTTGTCTTTAGTTAGGAGTTTAGACTGAACCCCTAACCAAAGCAAAAATGAGTGCTTCGGTTTTATGCAAGATCTCCAAACATAGGCAGCCTAGATCTTCTTAGTACCTCTCGACTGGAAGTATTCATAAACATTTTTTGTGCAGAATTTTTCACCAGTTGACCAGGCCTTTAATCTATCCAATACTGCTTGAAATAACTCACTGTTCCATGTAGCCACAACATGCTAATTTGAGGTTGTTTCAACTGATCGAATCAGGTTGCTGCCTCCAACTGAACGGATAGCCGGGGCTGTCCTTGTATTCAAACTAGAGGGCTGTAGTAGTTTACAGCAATGTATCCCTAATTTTCAGCAGTTTTTTGAAGAGAGGAGAGTGATCTTTCCTTTGTAAAACATCGCAAATGCAAGTCCCTTTAAGGTAAAATTGGTTAACCCAACATATCCAAAGAATATCTTCTTCTTTTTTAATGAATATTCCAAAGAGATTTAACAAGTAAAGCTGAGTTCGAACTCTTCAAGTCCTTCAACTCAAGATCTCCTTCATCTTTTGAAAGGCAAACATCCCTCCAAGCCACCAAAGACTTCTTGGAACCCCAAAGAAATTTCCGCAAAGGCTAATAATTCTTAAAATAATTGTAGCCAAGATAGGGAAGATAGAAAGCTAAAAACATTCAACAACTTGAAGGACCACCCTATTAAGTTCCACATTGCCCACATAAGATAGAGAGGAGCAATTTCAAGCACCAATATAAGCTGTAATTTTTTCAAGGAATGGAGTATAACAGCTAACTTTGAATTTCTCCAAAGCAAGAGGGATATCCAAATAACGAAATGGCATAGTACCCTTTGGGAAATTAGTGAGTTCAAGGCTATCATCAAGCTCTTGCCCATGAATACCAACTGTATACAAGCTGGATGTTAAGATGTTCATCCTTAAACCCGATACAAGACTAAAGTTGGAAAGGCAATCCATTAAAATTTGCACCCACATAACATCTCCTCTTGCAAAGAGCATCAAGTCATCCGCAAAAGCTGAATGAGTGATCCTTAAGGGACCACATTTAGGGTCGTAATTGAAATCACTATCATTTGTGGCGGCCTTAACCATTCTTGAAAAATATTCAAGACAAAGCACAAACAAAAAGAGGGATAGAAGGTCATCTTGTCAGAGGCCTTTCCCACCTTTTGAAGAAGCCATGTAAACTCCCATTCGAAGCTATGGAATATGTTGGAGAAGTAACACACTCCATAACCCATTGTATAAATCTCAAGGGAAAATGAAACCCTTCAAGAACTCCTTTAAGGAAATCCCAACTCACTGAATCATAAGCCTTCTTTAGATCAATCTTAAGGAGGCGTCTAGGAGCAACCCTCTTCCTATTATATTGTCTCATGAGTTTTTGGACAAGATGGATACTTTCCGTCATACTTCTACCCTTGAGTAAAGTTGCTTGTGCATGATCCATGATGCTAACCAAAATAGGCCTCAATCTAAAAGTAAGGATTTTAGTAATCACTTTGTAGATAACATTACAATATAAGCCTATAATCCCCAACATTTAGAGTGTGACTAGACTTTGGCACCAAAGCAATGATTGTGCGATTGATTTCTTTGAGAATAGATCTTGATTAGAAGAATTCCTTGATGACCCCCGCAAAATCATCCTCAATAATTCCCCATGCTTTTTTAAAGAATCATGCCGTGTAACCATCCGGCCCGAGGGATTTATCATCTCCAATACTAAAGAGGGCTTTCTTGATCTCTTCACTAGAAACGTCCCGAATAAGTGAGTTGCCTTGTTCCAAAGATACCAAAGGCTGGTAACCAAAAACATCCTGCTCAATAAGCCGAACGGGGTAGCTTGTGCCAATCAATTTGGTGTAAAATTGGACAAATTCCCAAGCAACTTGATCTTGTGAAGTAGCATACATCCCATCCTCTTTGAGCATAGTAGCAATAAAGTTTCTTCTAGTGTTCCTTTTCACCACGGAATGAAAGAATTTAGTACACTTGTCACTTTGCTTAAGGAAAATACACTTTGCTTGTTGATAATAAAAGATCCGTTCCGTTTCACATAATCTCATAGCTTTTTTCCTCAAATTTGCCACCATAAATTGGTGGTGCACGTTTGTGGCCCAATCATGAAGCTTTAGCCTCCAATTCTCTTTTTGCTTCATTTGTTCTAGTAGAAATGTGCCCAAAGTATAAGCATTGAGCTCATTCAATGCTTCTTTTAATTTATGCAACCTCTTGGAAAACACAAATTGCTTTGTCCCCTTCACTTCAAAATTCTAGCTTCCTAGAACAAGTCCATGGAAGTCCTCATGATTTATTTACATGTTGAAAATTTTGAATGGTTTCCTCAAGATCATAAATGGACACAATGCAAGGAGAATGGTTGAAAAGGCATCCGAAAGGTAAAAAATCCGCAATTCCATGTGCACCATTTTGTATCCAAATGTCATTTACCATAGCCCTACCAATTTTGCTCCAAACTGAATTGTTAGTCCATGTATAGAAACAACCAATGGAGCGCACATCTGTAAGACCGACATAAAGGCAATAATTAGCAAAATCTTTAATTTCATAAGGTGTTAACTCTGCGCCATTGCTTTTCTCATCAAATTGAAGTATATTGTTGAAATCACCAAGAATCATCTAAGTCAAAGAAACATTTGCACTAAAATCCATAATGTTGCTCCAAAGCGACCTTCGGCTAACAATAGTATGAAAAATATAAACAAAGCTAACAATAAAGGTGTAAGATGTTACCTTGCAAGTATCAATACAATGGATGACTTGTGGTGTAGTCTCCAAAACTTCTAATTTGAGTTTGTAAGCATTCCACAAGATCAAAATTCGCCCGGCTCTATGAGTGCAAAAATTGTTGACTTGCATAAATCCATTAAATTTGTTTCGCATAACTCGGCTCAACTTAATTTCTCCAAGCTTCGTCTCCAAAATATCCATAACATCAATGCAATATTGCTTGATGAAATCTCGAATCACATTTTATTTGAGGAGGGATTCAAACCCCTAATATTCCAAGATGCGATCTTCATGATGTTGAAGCTCTCCTTTGCTCATCATCCTTACTTTTGAGCTTATCATTGCTAGTTGATTTGGAGGCCACCCTTTCAAGTCGGACATAGAAACTACCCTAGAATTTTCTAGTAGAACGCTATCATCTGCCTGTACCTTAGAGGAGAAATATGCGCTGAATAGCTCCCACAATCAGCCCCTTTTTCCTGTTAACGACCTCAATGAATGGAGCCTCAACTTAGTCCAGAATCTACCCCTGCTGGCATTCTCAATTTTCAGTTGCAACTGACCAATGTTTCGATTAAGAGATTGCCTTTGTTGGCTGTACAAATCCATAGGCTGCTGGTCCTCATTCCCGATGGTGATTTCTTAAGCTCAGTGTTCGTAAAAATCCTGCAAGCGTACGAGGTCGTTGTACAAATAATAGTCATGATGAAAGTGTTATTGTCCCACAGGGAATAATGATCAATTTTAGTATATTTGATATGTTTAAATTCGTGATCGTAACAAAAAGTGATTTGTGAATAGCTAACTAATTTTTGTAACTAAAATTTGAAATATAAATGAAAGTTGGTTTAAAAATCAAAGAAGTGAACGTATTGGATTTCAGATGCCACTGATCAATTATTAGTTCCATCTCAGCCAATTATAATTATCTCAACTTAAGCAATTGTGACGATTGATAATTCTACCACTATTTATTATTCTTTCCCAAGATATAATAAACATATGATTAGTACGAGACGATCATATTCCTAATCCGAATTCATATGGTAAACACGCATTGACATTTATGATTATTACACATGGCTACACACGTAACAAATATTATTCCTAACATTCATTGTTCATGTGTTCCAATAACAATGTTCTATCTACTGTGAGTTTTTCAACATTAAGAATAAGCAACTTATTGTCCTAATGGTGCGCAAACATCAAAACAATATAAGTATGCATATTAATGGAATCACAATGTAAGAATTAAGTTAAAAACACAAGTTCTTGAATTAAAAACTAAAAGTCAAACAGTTTTGCCATCCATCCAATACACAAGATAGTTGGCCCAGCATCTTAACGCATGAAAGCCATGAAAAATAAAAGAAAGTCATCACTCGAATCATTAAAATATGAAGATAATCTGGAATCCTTCAATTTATGCCTTCAAATCCGGATCCAAGCGATGAAATCTTCGTTCTTCAATATATTTCTCTCTATTTCTCTTCAAAGTTGGCTTGCAATCTAATGGATTCTAGGTTTGGATGAATTCTCCTATTTATATGGTCCCCAAAAGACTCCTTCCCAAAATAAAATAAGGAAACCCGAATTTGTCTGCGTTTAGCCTTGGGGCATGCTCCTTATTGATTTGGGGTGTCTCAGACACTTCGTTTTGGCCTTGAGACGCGCACCTTGACTAAGTTGCAGCAACAGAACAGCTTTCAATATTTTTGTCATAACTTTCTCTTCCGATATTTGATTTAGGTGATTCAAAGTATGTTAGAAAGCTTACTTAGAGGACTATAATTTTTGCAAAAATAAAAATTTTCCAATTCGAATGTTTGCTATTCAAAATCTGGGTCTCAAATTGAAGCTAAAAATTCGGAGCATAACTTTTTCGGCTAGAAATTGATTTGTGAAAATGCTTCAACTCTATTTCATTCTTTGACCTTCAATTGCATCCAATTGATGTCATATGATCTTCAATCATCATTTTGCGGTCCAAATCAACTATTGAATATTTACACTGGTCCCCAAACTTTGAAATTCCTTCATTTTCACACTTTTTTTTTTGTTATTTTCTCCCAAATTTACAAATTTGTATTGATTTCAACCTAGCAAACATAATTAAAACAAAATAAGGCTATAACTCATTCAAATTACTAACAAATACTCTAATTTAATGGCCTAGATAAGTGTATTTTATACACTTATCACTTGGCTAGCTAGCTTAGTTGAAACATGATGCAAATTATGCTATTTTCCATCAGCTGCAACATCTCCTTTTTTTTTTTTTTTTTTTTTTTTTTTTGAGATTTCAAAGTTTGGCCTCCATCAAAGCCTAGTTTCTTCATATTACATGCTGAAGATGTGCACCCAAACATCATACATCTCGCACAAATTTTTGGAACATGTTCATATTCAACTTGTTGAATTCTCATTTTTCATTTAGGTAAATTCATAGCTACAGAATGAAAAAGATCCTTCGATGCATCCACTTCCACAGGGACTCTAGCATATGAAAGTCTCCCTTTAGTAGTTATAAGTTTATCCGTGGAGATAGGATTACCAATCTTAGAAGCAATTTTAGCCAAAGCTCGAGTATTCCAACAATCAAATGGGAGACCTAGAAGCTTGACCCAAACCGGCAATTGGCTTACCTCCTTATCATCAAAATCAAAATAGCACAGCGGGGCATAACTTTGAGCATAAGAGGCCTCTCGAACACAAAGTATGGACCCCCATGTAACACACTAGCTCTAGTAGCCTCGTCCTTGAACTTGAAGATCAACCACCCACTTTTACGCACAAAATATTGGTATTCAATTTTCCACAAATTGCATTACCCAGAAAACGGCCAGCAAAAACCCCAAGATTTGTCCACATCATCCACATGTTGGAAAAAATTCCAACTTTGGGGGCCACACATGTACATTTATTAGAATGTGTGGTGCTATTTTAAAGTAAATTTAGTCGATAAAGTGATCCATTGGATTTAATTCTGGATTAATGGGTACTAAATTTTATGGGATTAAAGTGTAGAGACCAGAAGGTGTTATTTTGAATTGATGAGCGGCTGATTTTAAATAACTTAAAGTTAAAAACTGCCAATTACAGTTATTTTAATAAATGGTTATGGTCCCCAATTTGAACGTGATTTTTTTTTTTTGGTATCTCTACATCCTCATCAACAGAGACTTTTCAAGAAAACAAAGGAAAGAAAATCACATATCAATTGGAAGATCAAAACCCAATTAAAGCAGTCAGATTCTTTGATCAAGGTATGTTTCCGCACTTTTCATTGTCTCTTTGATTTTAACATGGAATTTATGATTTTATGAAAGGATTTTATGAATATGGTTCCTTTCAATTTGTGCAACAAATGGTATCAAAGCCATCCATTGTTGAAATCTTTGAAAAATTGCAATAATTTGGTATTTTTTGGGTTATTGTTATGGATCTTCCATGATATTTATATGAAATTTATATTACTGCAATTTTTGTTTTGCCTTTTGAGATTTTCATATTTAACTATTTGGATTAATTATTGTTGAATTTGAGAATTGTTTGGCATATTATTTATGGTTATAGATCTAGATCCAGTAAAAGGGTTTTGGAATCTAAAGTTTTGAAATTTTATTTTTCGATTTTGGTTTAAAAAAAAATAAAAAATAAATTTGCAACTGGATCTGGCCGGCTGGCTGCTGT